GTTAAATTAAATTGTTGTTTTGTAAGATAAGTTAAGGTATTGCTTGTAAGGCGAGCATATGAATGATAATGGATTGATTTTCAATTGTTATTTTGCTTTAAATATGGGTATTAAATTAAATTGTAGGATTGTAACATGGTGAGACATCTATAGCAAACTGAATAGAAGGAATATTTTGTATATAATGCTGTTCGTAAACAGAAGCGTCTATTTTACAATTATGCACAAATTTTGTAGATTTTTGCCAAAACCAGAAAATCAGTTTTGATCACCTACTTAGTTTAATTTGTTGTTTTATTAATAGCAAGTTTCATGTTAGCCATTCCAGTGATTTAACTATTCCATTAAGATTTGGAAGCTTGAATTGAGTTTCCTTTATTAATTTATTTAATAATTAATTAGTAAGAGATGGTATTGTCCGATTGTTGCAAATTTCCTGAAGGCTGTACTGAGGCAACAAATGAATAGATACTCAAACTTTTTTGACGCAAATAGTCCGGAAATCATAGAAAATTTACAAGGAAAATCATGATAGGTGTGACTACTTTTAATTACTGATAATTATCAAATATTAAAGGACTTATCTATTAATAAAAACTCATCCAGAATTATAAAAAAATTTCATGCATTCAATTTAAGAAATAATTCTGTTTTTAAACAAAAATTTTAGAGTTAGTTCAAGCTCTCTAAACCCTATGGCAGGTTTCAATCAATCTTATTTATCTTACCCTATTGCGTTCTCATGTTCCAAAATATTTTCCCTGACATGTCCAAATAATTTAAATATATGTAACTATGTATTTACAAGCAAAAAATTACATTTTCATCTACCAAATTACCATTTAATGACAAAATTAAAAAATCGAAAAACCGCGACGTTTGTATTAATCAAAAAATATCCCAACCAAAAAAAAAAACAAAGTGTCAACTAAAAAAAAAAGTACAACCAATTTTATTCGCTCCAATTCGTTTTATTATCATTGAGAAATTGTTATAGAGGCGACAAAGCATTTCAATATCTTTAAACTGATTCACAATTTTCATATAAAAAAGATAAGTTTTAAATAAAAGATTTCGCAAGAAAAAAAAAGGGTTCAAAAGTTCAATAATTTCTCCTTTCTTTCACATTCAATTCCCATTCATATTATAATTTTTGTATACAAGATGTTTTCAATCTTCAAGATGTTCTCCTTAAATTTCGTTACATTTTTTTTTGTGTTTCTGCTATTGCCAGCTACTACTGCTTGTACAAAATACAAACACAAGGTCTTTTTGTTTTTCCTTATATTGAAGTTGAATGATTCTATTGAATTGAATTTTATTGCATTTCTGTTTTTTTAAGTAAGTATAACATTACGGTATGCTACACATCACAAATTTACAATTGTGTATAACAATTTTTTTCTTTTTTTTTTCACTGACTCAACATATGGTTTCTATGTGAAAAGAAGAAAAACAAGTCGAAGAAAAAAAAATTTGTATTCAATTCATTTTTGTTTTTTTCATCTTTCTCATTACTTTTGAGTGCGAATCGAGATGAAAAACTATGTGAAAAAATATTAAATTTTTATGAAATTTTAATGGGGCGATACTATAGGTTTTGTACACAATCTTGTAATGGTATAAGGAATTCTTAATTCAAAAGCTGAGAGAATATTAATCACGTTTAGAATTTTCTAGTAATAAGAAATTGATGCAAAGCAAAAAATAGAACAAACCCGTCTCAGATTGGCAAATGAAATAACATGTAAGGCTCTGAGGAGTTTTTGGTCAGAGCTGGATTTGCGTCGCACAAGAAATCTGATATTTCCATAATTGAAGGAGACCTATGTTGTAATATGGATCACAATGCGTCCGATTGGTGAACGTGAGAGAAGGAGGACTGTCCTGCGAAAGATCATTGTGGAAGCTTCATTGACCAGGAGGAAGAGAATACAATGAGAGACTATGCTCATATCAGGCGCTGATGAACTCCAACCACACCTTTCTTTGCTAACGATTCCAATGAATGAACTATGTACTTAGTGAATGTAAATGATAATTTTAGCTACTTAATATGATGGAAGGTGGGATACGGGAGAAAAATAATAAAATATCGATTTAGTTGATTACTTGATTAAGTTACTTCCGTAATAGTTATTGAAGCACTTACCACAGTAGAAGCGTCTATGTTATAATTGTAATTACAATTTTTTAACATTATTCAAACTGCTCTTTGAATAGGTCTAGAAGAAATTAAATAGTATTTCGAAATTTTGTTATCAACCAAATGTTTGCCTGCTCATTGCCTTAAATATGGGAACGATGCAAAATTCAAAACTTTTTAAAATATCACGATATTTTTCGTCTTCAATTTACCGTCATGGTACAAATTTTTTTATGCGATAGAAAACATGCATTCTTTAATTTTTTCGAAAAGAAAAAAAAATTTTTCTTAAATATTTAGTCTACCATATGGCATAAATTTCCAGATCTTCTGCAATAAATCCAAAAGAATGAAAACGAAACACACAGTTTTCTAACATTCTTCAGAGAATTATTGAAAAATTTCAAGAGTATCTTCATCTTTAAAAAAAGAGAAAAACAAAATCCGAATAGAATAGAAATTGATCCACCTACTTTTCAAAATTTGATTCATTAGATGTCAAATATTTCTTTATTTGTCATATATATAACTGTACATTAAGCAGATGATGTTCCATTTAAATTAACTCCATAATATGTTGATTGTCTATATGATGATTCGAATCAAAAATTTATCATTTTTATTATGTTTGTTGTGTGTATTGAAAGTAAGAGTATAAAAAGAGTATAAAATGTAATTTTGAATCAATGAAAATCAAATTGCAAAATTATGACGTAAAACTCTTAGAGTTTTTCATATGTTCAACAACAATACGAAAAAAAAATTGAAATGAGCACAATTGCTATTGAAAATGAGGATGAAAAACTCTTTGTGCAATTATTTTCAATAATATTTTTTGTAAAAATAACAGAAAAAAAAATTGAAATTTTCAAGTACTTCGATTATAGAAAAATAGGAGGAAAAAGCAAAACTAAAAAATGATTTTCTTTTTTCATATACACTCAAACACAAACATTGTATTTTAATATTGTTGTGTACATAGCATATATGCCTACATTATTGTTTTATGAAGACTGATGCTACTTTAACAACTTCACTTTAATTTTTTCATTAAATCACAAAAAAAAGAGCACAAGAGTATGTTTGCTTAGCATGTTCAAGCATTTATGAATTAATTATGAAAATTCCAATTATATCGATTGTGATGTTCGAAGCATTTAGAAATGAAAGAATGAAAGTTTTAGAAACAAAATTTTAAACTACTTGAATTTTTTAAATAGCTCAATTTTTTGTAATAGTAATTTTTGTGCTAATTGTAGGCATAATTAAGATCAACAATAAAATATCCCCTATGGTAACCCTATTGTATTACTAGAAAAATAAAAACCTGTCGACTAAATTACTGGAACGACTTCACCTTCTACAGAAATCGCTGATAGTTCACCAGGCTGTTAATATAATACTTCCGTTAAGGATAATATTCATCTTCCCTTTTCTATTAGGATCGGATTTCAAAGTCGGCCATTCCTGGAATTTCCTAACGGTATCCAAATGAATAAGTAATGAGTAAGAAACGAAATTTCTTCTTTTTCAAGAGATAATGTTTCGTACACTAAGTATGTAGACTACAATACTCTCGTTCTCTCGCCATTCTTGCATAACCTAAGTGTTTTCAATTAACATCTACGGAGTAATACCCTCCACAGTCATATATTGTCCATGTCACCAGTATCTTTACAATGAAATTTGGAGTTCCAAGCACCAGAATAGTGCCTCTTTTTAAAACTGAACGAATAACTGTTATTCATCTTAGTATAACTGCCGCCTCTATGCCTTTGGAAGCCTTCGAATCGTTGCATATCTCGATGATATATTCTTGTTTCTAGGGCTAAAAGAGGACTGACATCCTCCGCCTCGTTATTATTGACACAATATAAAGCACCATCAATTCTCGTACATGAATTTTTCTAAATTCTCTCTAAATTTCTTTGTTACTTATGTAGTAATGTGATCCACTAACATTTATTCTAATTATACTTCTGAGGTTTTTATTGAATTCAGCTCACGTGATCTTATTTAGAATAATAGACCTACTAATTAAGATATTAGTATTTTATTAGATAGCACGAAAACTCATTGAATATCTTATAGTAAGCAGAATTAACTCAATTTTTATTTTTTTGTGCCATGTTTATATTTTAAAGAGGTTTCTTTTTTCGTTTCAACTCAAATATTTGTGTATTTAAATTATAAGTTATTTTTTTCTTTCTGATTTTTGCTCCTCATCCGGAAAACTAACGAAATATAATTTGCCGAAATCAATGAAAGCAATGATAAATTTTATATGTCTAGTTTGTTTGTGAAATCTTAATTTTTTAATCATAACCATCTGGATTAATCCAAAAAAAAAAAATTTCAAAATATTCAAAAAATCTTTTAATGTTCTACATAAAAAAAAAATATTCTTTAAAATTATTACAAACTCTTAAGTCTCTCAGTGATTGTAAATTGATATCTGCCGCTGCTCTGCCCTGGTTCTTGTTAAATTTTGTTTATTTGGGTGAAATTTTCAATTATTGCTTATGCTTTAATAAATTTTTTTTATTTTTTTCTGAATTGGATTCAAATTATTTGGTTTAATTGAAAATTTAATTCGTTTGAATTATAAAAAGTAATGAATTTTTGTTCCAATTACACAAGTGTTCTTTTGCGAGAATGTAGACATAACACGATATAAAAACGATATCCACGATAGGCTTATGGTTATTAAGATTTAAGAAGAAGAAATTTAAAACTTTTTGAAGAAAAATTTAATGATTTCAATAAAAAATAATTTTTTGAATTGATTTAAATTAATATTTTAATAAATTTGTAATGTGGTGATGTTGTACAATATTTTATTAATTTTACTTACCTATAATTTGGAGCAAGGACGATATTCTTTTATTTACAGCTGAATTCAATGAAATTTCGGTTTTCCAGAAATAAAAATCTGAAAATAAATCAAAATAAAAAAATTTCGTAATTAATTAAAAATTAAATCATAATCATTAATGTGTAAAAGAAGAAAATATAATGCCGGCCTTCAATAAGAATAGGCCAGAAGAGGTGAAGGATTTAAGTTGAAAAATGTGTCTGTATTAAGTGGGAATTTCACTCATTCTTAAATAAAGATAATATCAGAGATGCTTATATTTTGTAGTTGGTAATGAGAACGAGAGCTATTAATTTTGAAAAGTGCCCGGTTAAGAAAAATATTTCTAACGACATGGTAATGAAGTTAATAGTTCAATGCAATGAACAATAGTACTTCAGGTCAATAGAACTACTGATTTTTATTAAACCTTATACGAAATATGATGGATCACCAGTATTAGAAGTCCCAGTTAATTTATAATGCATATATAATTGCTCACCTCTATGAACTCATGTATAAGGCTGAAAACCACACGAATGCCAATTTCAAACATGAATATTCTTCGTACTTACCTACTGAGATTATGAACATTACCATTGAATACCAGTTTTCTAACATGAATTCGCTTCAATTTTAAAATTTTAATCTTCATTCAAAATATTAAATCATTTTCAAATTCTTGGATAATTTCGTAGAGTTCATGATATTTTTATGTATTTCGCGATGTATGATATTTTTTAAACAGAAAATGAGATGCATACGGCTTTTTCATGTGTAAATTTTCACGGTCATAATCTCCAATCAATAAAGAAATTAATCTGGTATTTTAAGAACCTTTGTTATTAATAAAAAATTCTGTTTTTACTAAGAAAATTTCAATTGCACCAAGGACTTTTTCATATTCTCTAAGTAAAATTTCAATTGCCAGGAAAAAAAATGAAAAAAACAAAAAACAAAAAGTGCAAAAGTTCAAAAACAGATCAAAATCTATACCCACCTGTATACCATAGGTATTACAAGATTTCATGAATAAAGCCCTGAAAACAGCGACACCATACCGAAAACATTTCACAGGATTAAAATTAGAAAAAAGAAAAACGCAACACTGTGTTGATTTTTTCAAGGATAATTTTTTTTTTTGTTTGTTTATTTGTTGTTCTTTTTTTTTCCACAATACTTTTTTTATTATAATTTAATTTCATCCTTCAATCATAAAATTATGAAGAAGAACAAAAAAATAACAAAAAGTCATAAGAAAAGAAAAGCAAAGGCTAAGAGTGTATGTTGACTTTTTCGCTTTTCCCTGGTAGCTGACTAAAGCGAAATTTTATTTCAACTTCTCCGGTTTCTTATTTTATTTTTAATGTTTTTGTTCTGATTTTTTTTTTTTTTTTGGCATAAACGTCATGTAAATATCATCAGAGCGCAATTTAACTTTTTAAAGGATTTTTATTGCTTAACCTGTTGGCTTGTTTTTTGCTTTCTGTGTAAGATAAAAAAATAATAATTTACTTACTAGAGAGGATAAGGAAGCAAAAGAAGAAAAAAACAGTTACAGAAAAAAATTTAGGATACTTTAATATCTTTAAACCTTTACCTGTTAAGAGAATAAGAGAGCATCGAAATGATAATATGGAGATCTGAGTTCTTAGATAGGTTGGTGTGACGCTAAAAATAAGAGTTGTAAAAAAAATTAAGAAATGGCAGTTTTTTTAAAAGTGCTCAATAGCAACTTTTTGTTAAAAGGTGACAAAATTAGATGTTAAAATTTTTAGAGTTGCCATATTATGTTTTTTTATATAAGAATATAAAGGTAGTAAGTGCCAAGTGTAAATAATTACTTGAAATAATTAAGATTAAGAGGCGTTGTTTGAATTAAAAATATATAATAGAGTTACCACATTGGATTCTACTGTGCCAGTTATATATCCTCTTCCAGTATAGACAAAATTTCAATACTAATTAAGCGATACCTTTTATCTTCTTTATTTTGCTTTTTCTAATGATATATCGCATTTCAATATAACTCAAAATATACTTTTTGTTTTTCTCGTTTTGTTTTTTTTTATTATTTAAATCACACATGTTGGCTTAAGCCGTCGTACTAAGAGTTATGTTACATAACTAATAAAAATAGAATCTAATATTACAAACATTTAATATAGTTTTTTTTGTTTCTTGTATAAAATTTATGCATTGAAATTATAGCTTAATAAACTATTCCGTGTGAAAATATTTCTAAAAAAAATAAAAATCTAATAATTTCGTGTGAAAATATTTCTAAAAAAATAAAAATCTAAAAAATAATTCTTTTCAGCAAATTGGTTTCCTAATGTAAAACAAAAAAAGAAAAAAGTAAAAACAAATTTTGTTTTTAAATATTTTTTGTAAAAGCAAGGAAAAATTATAACTTGGTTTAATTTTTCCTTTCTTAAAAATAGTGAGTCGAAAATTGATTGTCAAAGAATTAAGTTTGAATAAAAAAGTTTTTTATTAAGCGAGAGAAAAAAAAAGAATATTAAATAATTTTTGAAAAAGTGGATATATAATTAAATTAAGTTTTATGTTTTTGTAATAATTAAAAAAAAAGAAATTAATAAATAAAAATAAAAAAAAAAATATAACAATTAATATTAAAATTGTTTTAATTAATCGAAGAAAAAGGAAATTAATTAATAAAAAGTAACAGGAACTTTTTTGTGATTTGTTAAAATAACAAATAATACAAAAGTTGCCTTCTTTTAATAACTTAACGTCAAAAATAACTGTCGCCATAATTTTGTATTAAAAAATGTTATCTTCAACTTGGAACAAAATGAATCTGTTGAGTTGTCTTGGATTACATTGACTGTTTTGAATATATTTAAGAGAAACTGTAAGTATTTAGTTTAACAGTAAAATATTTAGAATTAATTGTTACTTGCGCGTGTAATTAAATGTGAATCACAGTTTGATAGGTTCTAGAAACGTAATTATCAAAGTTTACATTGAAGTTAGACAGGTTGTATTAAAGTTATTATTATCCTCTTTGAACAAGTAAGAAACGCAAACGTATTTTAAACGACGACTGGCAACGTATTTCTATTGTTTCACAACATAAAAAAAGTGACTGAACTACAAAACACACTTCAGCAAGTGGTGGACTCATATAAGTGGACTCTTCAAAAGCTAATACACTATATTACCTCTATATAACGGTTGGCATAATGTCAAGAGAACGCTACGATGAGACCCCGACTACGATCAATGCAGGAATTGTTAAGGAGGACGAAGGTCATTATTGATAATTAAAAATTCAAGAATTTGCCTGTGATGTTTCGAACTTTCGAATAAACAAATTTGTTCCTTTAGGCTTAAAAACAAAAATATCTCAAATCAAGATCGTCTTTAAATATATTTCCGGATAATACTACTTTACTTGGCATTCTCTGAGAATTGTCACGCGAAGTGTTATGGTTAAGGTATATGAGAGGGAGATGCCGCCGAACTACCTGATCTAAGTTTGTTTAAAGAATCAGTCCTTGTTTTCAATGTTAAAATCGTTACTTTGAAATGCTAATTTTCTACTTCATATATTTGAGTTTTATATTTTTAGTAGTCAGTCGGTGAGTGAAATTAGATTGAAAGTTGAAAAACAGAAAGAAAGAACTTGTGTGTATATAAAAAATTTTTTTTTTCATTTTTCGATTATAAAATTACACAAACTTTAAAAGAAAATCACTGAACTAGAAGAAATAAGATTCCGTCTTTCAAAAAATCCTCAATCCTCATAATATTCTTAAATCTGAAGAAAGAAGACTTCTGCTAAAGTGGTTTCATGGATTGTTTTTTTTTTTTTTTTTATAGAAGCATAATTATGGGGTGTTATATGATATCTTTCCTTCGTGTAGCATGTTATTTAATTTATAATTTGATTATTGTATGTATACAATAAAAACCATTCGATTTCTTTATTTTTTTTCCCCCAATTTTGATAAAAAAAGTGTTTTTTTTTAGTAATAAAATTAGAAAATTGAATGATGTTAAAAAAAGAGGTTCCTGCTGTCAATAATTTTACTTTTTTATTTTGATCTTACCACCATATTACTTTTAACTTTATAACTTTTGCCTCTATCTCTCCTTACGGTAATACTCTCTTCTTCTCTTCCAATATTATTATTGTTCAATATTATTAACTAATGAGATCTGGTGTCGTTCTTCGTTACTATGTTTACTGCTTCTTGATAATTTTTTTTCCTATTTTTATTGCGTTATGGTAAAATAATTTGATACGTTTTTGTGGTAATAATTTTTTTCTTCTCTTTTCTGTCTGTTTTTGCCTTTGTGTAACTCTCTGATCTTGTTTTTTTGCTTCTTGCATTTTTTTTTTTATTGTTTATTTCGTGTGGTCAGTGTTCCCACTTGGATACAATTGTATCCATTTGGATACATTTTGTGCTTTAAATTTAGCTTGGATACAAAGATACTCAAATCTGCTAAAATGCCGAAATTGGCTACATTTCAAAATTTTGCTGAAATATGGATACATTTATTTTCTAAACACTAAATAAATGTTACAAAACTGTTAAAATGCTGCTATAATATTAAAACGCGTAATTGCTTTATCTTTCAAAAGTGTTATTTGCTGGCATTCTTAAGCAGATTTCCGAGTTTACTAGAAGAAAGTAAGAAATCTGCTTTATTAAATGAGTGCTGCCTCTTCCTGTATTCAAATCTAGAACATTTAGACAAGAACGTACCAGAAATATTTTGGAGTAAGCTAGTTGTAATAGAAAATGCATTGGCTGTACATATTTTTTAAAATTTTTCCGTTTTAATGGTGAATTGTCTTTAGCACATAGTTCAACAACATATATGCATATGTTTTTCTGATCTTAACTTTTAACACATTTAAAATATAATAGAAGTTGTATGTGATTTCTTAAAGAATTTACTATAAATAAAAAAACTAACAATAGGACGGCTTGGTATAAAAATTCTGCTTTATGAGGTTGGATACATTTTGGATACATTTTTTCCTCGAAATTGGATACATTTTGTTTTTACCAAGTGGGAACACTGCGTGTGGTTTTAAATCCTTCT